TTTTTCTCTGTATCTATGAAGCGCCTTGAGGCGACTTATGTTGTGATTTGGCGCTATATAAATAAAATTGAATTGAATTGAATTGAATTGAGGAAAGGTCTGATCAATCAGTAAGAGCTTACTGAGGTTATTAAAGGGCTGAATCAGCTACAGCAGAGTACATCACTGAATTTCTGCAAACACTCACAGCTTGCAGGGGATGATGAAGCTCCTCCTCGTCACTGCTCACCTGTCCCCTGAAACCGAACATTTGAAGCAGCTAGCCCCTCTGCTAAACCGCTCTGACCTGCAGGTTGACTCGTTGCTATGGTAACGCGGAAGTGGTCGGTAAAACCGGCAGCAACAGAAGAAGACTTCGCAAGTAAACTCTTTGCATTATGACGTCACGCCAGGTGAGTTATAAGATGTAAATATTTGCGGGAAGACCGTTTTCGATTCAGCTATTACGACAGTGAACTCCATAGACCACAATCCACCGCAATGAGGTTCTAGCCAATAGGAGGCAAGGCTGACGGCTCGACCAATTAGAGAGCGGCGGGAGCTTTGAAACTCCAGGCAGGAAACAGTCGGAGGACGGTTGGAGCTCCGCTGCGGTTTCTGTGTTTTAACCGAGACTTTGGGACACATTCGGGCACCGAGAGGACCCGGACCGGGACACCGAGACACCCGCAACGACCCGACACAGACCCGGGACACCGAGAGGGGGGACAACATGGCGGATTTAGCCGCGAACGGCCACTGTGAGTGTCGGTCAGAGAGTCCGGAATGACCGCAGCGTCAATCAGATTCATATGTAATTAACTCGGTGTCACACTCCGTGATTTTCTGCGTCTGTGGGGTTAATTCAAAGGAGCTGACCTCAGTGCTGCTGCTTGCAGCTGTACCGATCAGCTACAGCATTAAAACCACCACAGGTGAGTCACCTGTCACAGGTCAGGTGATCGATGGACACTTGTCCAGGTGGACTCCTTATGATCCGGGTCTCAGTCTAAGATCTAAGGGCGTTTTCCCGCATGCGGTGTTCTGGTTCACCTGCACAGGTGGACACCGCTGGTGTGAAACAACCTGTGGAGGAGGCATTCTCGGTCTGGTTAGTTTACGGCGTGATGATGTCATAGGTTTGGAAAAAAAATCACCCGTAGCCCCACGTGCTGCAGTTTTTCTGTGTGAAAAAACAAACCAAAGTTTGCAAGACTTTAATGAAATGACGTGTTTACAGTCACTTCAAGACAATAAGAGCAACGCGCCGAGCCAGTGAAGCAATGTGCAATAAAGTTTCACGGGTTAAATGTCAATCGTATATCTTTCACCTCTGTAATGTTCTGGATATTTATAACCGAGCGTTTGTGAATATTAGAGCAATTTCTTATGTTTGTAACTTTATAATATGAGAGGACGGTCCCTTGTGGCTCCTCTGTGATTGGGATCAGAGTCAAGCAGCCTTTGTAAGACTCGGAGTTTACGTCAAATATTATTACTGCTTTCTGAGCTCACTGGTTTACCTCCCACCTGACCATGTCAGACTTACCTGAAGAAGATTCCAGGTCAAAGGTCCTCAGCAGCCTGCTGTCATCAGTTTCAATAAAACTTCTTAAAGTGATGAAGATGGTTCCCGGGAACATCAGCCTGCATCTGGATGAAGACACGTTTGTAACGTGTGAGGAAGCTTCAGCTGCTTCAGACCGATTCAAAGATTGTGGATCAAACGTGCGCCATGTCCTCCATCATCATCAGCCCGAGCTCACCCCAAAGAGCTCCAGACCTCGAAACACGGCAGACCTTCATCACCTACGGGACTGTAAACTGATGATGGCAGGAAGCTGAATATTCCACACTTCCTGTGAGAACACTATTTTTGAGCTGGAATTTTTTTCAGGTGTGAGGGAAGCATCAGGAGTGCAGCTGGTTTTAATGATGTGACTCAGTGTTTTTGTCTGTAACTTGGTGCTGATCACATTCATTGATAAAGATGATCGATCATCCAGGTAAGGAAAAGTTGCTTCTGTTCATCTGAAGCGTTTTCAGAGGGAGAAACGTTTCACCACCATCATCATCAGGTGATATCTTTAATATTGGTCCCGGAACTGACCTCATGGCCTGTCGTTGGTCAGCTGATGAGGGTGAAACGCTTCTCCCACTTCAGACGAACACAGTCGACCTTTTGTAATCAACAGTTTGATCTGATGTAGTGTTAGAAACGGGCTCAGCGTCATCTAAACAAACTGAGAGCACAATATTGATCTGCGGTTAAAGGAGTGACACGGGTGTGATGTCCTGTTTCCTGGCGTGTTGCAGATGAGCGTCTGACCGCCGAGCAGATGGACGAACAGAGGATCCAGAATGTGGCCTATCAGTACCTGTGCAGGCTGGAGGAGGCCAAGAGGTCAGTGACCTGGACCGGGAGCACCTTAAGTGTTTGCTCACTTTTGTTAACAGAACCAGTTTCTTCTTCAGGTGGATGGAGGCATGTCTGGGGGAGGAGCTTCCTGCTCCCACAGAGCTGGAGGAGGCGCTGAGGAACGGCGTTATTCTCGCCAAACTGGGTCATCGCTTCGCTCCGAGCACTGTTCCTCAGAAGAAGATCTATGACCCGGAGCAGCTGCGATACCAGGTCACAACACACACCAGCTAGAACCAGTCTGATCCGGTCTACCGCTCTTTGGGGGGCGGGGTTATTGATCAACTCGATGATCAGCTCTGTATTGATCCCTGCAGGCTGTCGGTCTTCAGTTCCGCCACACTGACAACATCAACCACTGGAGAAACGCCATGACGGCACTTGGGCTGCCGGCGGTCAGTGAACACATCGACGGATCATAGTATCGATTAGCTGATTGGTTTGAAGCTGGGCTGATCACCTGTTGTTGTTTCCAGATCTTCCATCCTGAAACGACCGACGTGTACGACAAGAAGAACATGCCGAGAGCGGTGTACTGCATCCACGCACTCAGGTACGCCTCGTTGCTCGTCTGATCACCTGTCCTCTGTGCCGCCTCTCACTTGTGCTCACCTGTGCTCACGTCTCTCTGCAGCCTGTACCTGTACAGACTCGGTTTGGCCCCACAGATTCACGACCTGTATGGAAAGGTCAAGTTCACAGGTAAACGCCACATAGGTAACTGATAATTTGGGATTAGTTTGGCTTTAGTGTACTTTCACAGAAGTTGGTGCTGGGAAGGTTTGGAAGGGGCTTTGACACCCGGGGGGTGGGTGCTACAGTGCTGGGTGTTGGACCAATCACGGTCAATTTTGCTGACCTGTAACTTTGTTCAGAGGAAGAGATCAACAACATGAAGCTGGAGCTCGACAAATACGGGATCCAGATGCCCGCCTTCAACAAGATCGGAGGAATCCTGGCCAATGAGCTGTCAGTGGACGAGGCTGCAGGTAGGACCAGACTCTGATTGGCTGATAGCGGATGGAGCTACAGGATAGGAACAGACTGATTGGCTGCTGGGGGTACTGACCCTGCATTCTGCCAACAGTCCACGCGGCGGTGGTAGCCATTAATGAGGCCGTGGACCAAGGGGATGTGGGTGTGACGGCGGTGGCTCTGAGGAACCCCGCTGCTCTCCTCACTGACCTGCAGGAGGCGTTGATGAGCGTCTACCAGGAGATTCTGCAACGAGCGAGGAGGAGGAAGGCTGAACGGGCCGCCGGCGGGGTAAGACATTGATTGGTTAAAGAGATTTGTGTCCGTCCAGTCAGGTGAGCAGACTGTTGACGTGTGTGTTCGTGCGTGTGTGTCAGCAGGCTGTGGCAGAGGACAAAGACATGTACGAGGAGTATCTGACTCAGAGGGAGATCCAGGACCACATCAGTGCCGTCAATGGTGAGAAATAAGCCCCTCCCCCTGTTCTGATGGCATTAATGCTGGTATTGATGACCTAACGATTATGTCACTGTGGGCGTCAGTGCGGGCAGCGGTGGAGCAGGTCGACGAGGCTCTGGATGTCGCCAACGAGCTTGCTTTGCTGTCGGCACTCCAGCTGCCGTGTTTGGCCCTCAGGGGCCTCCGTACTGACAATGGGCCCTGGTACCTGGATCAGCTGACCGCAGACCGCCAGCAGAAGGCCCAGGTAAACTAACAAGTGCGGCCCCTGACCTCTTTCTGACCTCAGTGACCTCTGACCTCTCTGTGACCTCTGACCCCAGAATCAGGGCTCTGTGGATCCTCTGGAGCATGAAGAGCTGCAGGAAGGCGTCACCGCTGCCAACCAGGAAGCTCAGAGCACGCGAAACAGTACGCCATTTTCTTCCCACGCCCGAACCAGGCTCACCTTTTGACCTCTGACCTCGCCTCAGTATGTGTGTGTGTTTGTGTGTTTCAGTGGTGGCGGCCCTCCAGAGCGTTAATGCGGCATTGCGTGGAAATGACCCCAGACGCACAGTCAGCTGCCTGATGACCTCTGACCTCCAGCTGCCTGAAGTGTTTCCGTTTGCGGCGACATTTTATCACCGAGAGCTGCAGCTGCTGCAGAGGCAGACGGCACAGGTGCAACACCGGGTTTACCTGGAGATGAGTGACAGCGTCACTCAGGGGTGGATCTAGAAGGGTGGCATCGGGTGGCAAGTGCCACCCTAGTTTTGCATGTGACAGTGTTGTTTATTAAAATAAAACAGCATTAACAGTTTGAGCGTAGTTACAGTCAGCAGTGAATATAAATGCTAAAACTGAATATGTTGCATAGTGTCCCCCCCTGCACCAGTAACAAATGGTTCAGCCCATAGCAGGACCGGCTTTTTCCTTGTTTTCAGTAGCAAGCGATGCTTATGATTGTGCCAGAGCACATTTTAAACAACACCATGGGAATTTCAGATTTCACACAGGTGGGTGGATGTTACACTGTGGAAATGGAAGGAAGGTGAGAGTTATTAACCCTCTGGGGTCCACGCACACGCTGCACCTCCAAATCAAACGACTGATTTAAGATGACACCGCAATAAGCTGCAGCCACGCTGAGTCTTTCAGCCCGTGTTGAAGTTTGGACTTCAAAGTTTTTAATTTTAATTACAGGCCAGTAAATCCAGAGTTATTAAAAAAATATATATGAGCCATATATATTTCTAAATACTGTCGTCACGTTTTTTGTGTTTAAAAACAAAAAATGTTTTCTAAGGACAACACGAAAATGGTAAAGAAAGGGGGGGGGCCTCTTTCCTGTTGGTGGAAAAATGTACCATGTCGACCAATTAATATCACAAAGGCACATTGCAATGTAAACACTGTCACCAACTAGTGCAGGGCGATATGACCAAAAATATTTATCACGATATACATTTGAAAATCTGCGATAACGATATGACTGACGATATAATTGACACGAGACAAAATACTTTACAACTCCTCAACTTTGATGGTTTTTTTGCACTAATAATGTATCTTCACTTAAACAAGCAGCTGTTTTATCTGCATTAAAGTTATATAAACATTTAACGGTGCAAATTCCTCGCTGACAGTTTAACCAAAAGGCGTTTCCAGTGGAAACTGGCCGAAACATCCTCAGCATAACCATGTATAACATCCACAACACTTAAAAAGAGGTTATACACACACACAGTACCCTGCCGTTGTCTTTACGCTGTCTAGACTCTACTGACTCCTTTAAAAAGCAGCTGAAGACATTTTTATACAAACGGGCTTTTAATTAATTTTAACTTGTATGTCTGATCTTATTGTAAAGCACTTTGTGATTTTTATCTGTGAAATGTGCTAGATAAATAAATTTTACTTAATATTACCGTATTAAGTAAAAGTATGTTGAAGCACAGTACGTATAACTCCGCGAGGCTCCGCCTACGATAGCCGTAACGCTCCGACAATCCATCAAGCGGTGCGGCTTCGTAGCTCAGCAAAGTCGTACTGAAGCATTTGACAGATTTTCGAGCGCCGTGCACATAAAATCGTTTCGAGGTCAGTAAACACAACCAGAGTTCATACATAAGGCACACGGGATTATAAGGGGCTCTGTCGACTTTCAGAAAATCAAAGGATGATTTTAAGTGCGCCGTATTTTCTTCAGTTCAGAACTGAAGAAGCTTCTCGGATGAGAGGTGAAACGTCTTCAAGTAACTTAAAGAAGTCCAGACGCTTTTCTTTGCAAGCTCCTTTGACCACCTGCATGTGTGTGTTTGGGGGGGGGAGCCTTGATTTTGCCACCCTAAGAAAATTCCTCTAGCTCCGCCCCTGGCGTCACTGTCATTCAGCTGGCACTTCCTGTTGTCTCCTCCAGGGAGAACTGCAGGAGGAGGAGCTCTTTGTTGCCGTGGAGATGCTGTCAGCCGTTGTTCTCATCAATCAGGGTCTGGAGGCGGGACACCTACAGCAGTTCAGCTCCTCATTGGTCAGTTCGTCTGCAGGGCTCTCCGATGTAGAGCCCGCCCTGCTCGACAGGTACTGCCTCTTACCCATTTACCTGCTGATGATGTCACTGTTGATAATGACGTCCCTGTTGATGATGTCACTGTCGTACAGGTACTTTGAGACTCTGGCTGGTGTGAAACAACAGGTGGGCCGAGACCTGCTTACCTGGAACCAGCTGCAGGAAGGAATCGCCGCTGTGAACGGCTCGGCGCAGGACGAACAACAGCGTACGACAACGCGATGACATCGTTACAAACACACAATGATGTCATTATAAACAACAAACATTAACTTCTTTGAATTCTGTTGAGCTGACACTGCGACCTCTGACCCCTGTGACCCTCAGAGCTCCTGGCTGTCAGCCTAATAAACAAGGCCGTGATGAGCGGAGACCCTCAGCGGCTTATCTCCGCCCTGTTGCTGCCCTCCTGTGGCGTGGACGAGGTTTCACCTGCCAATGCCTGCAAGTACCTGACCCTGCTGAGCCAAGCCAGGCAGATCAAAGCTCAGGTAACTGCTCAGGTGTAACTGCACAGGTAACCGAGCCATCACCTCAACAGCCCCTCAGAACTGTGACTTTAGTCTTTATCATGACCCTCTGGAGGTAGAATCCAGGTGAGGTTTAAACTTTCAGTCACAGGTCCCCCTCCTGTCCAACCAGGTGAGCAGAGACCCGGGAGCCGAGCTGTGGTTGGCTGATATCCAGGAGGCCGTGAGGATGGCCAATCAGCAGAGTCAGAGAGCTCTGAAGTGTGAGTCACAGATTCATTTACCTGCACAAGTAACCACACCTGTTCAGTTTTTAAGCATGTGGGTTAGAAACGATCAGAGGCTGGACCGCCATCGTTTGTGTTTGATGATATTCGTGATCATTGCGACGCACCTGCGGCGCTTTGTGTCAGACGGAGGAAGGTTGTGAGAGCGAAACGTCTTCATCTTACCTGTTAGCTGTCAGCAGTGACATCACTGAAGGTGTGCTGGGAGACGGGTGTGAACATCGCTCCGAGTTGCACAAGAAGAAACGACTGAAGGACAGAACTTCCCGTCAGCGTGTTCATTATTGATCCGTGTGTTGATTATTGGTTGTGTGTCCGTCAGTGTGTCTGTCCGTTGCCGCGGTGAATCAGGCCGTAAAGGAGAACAGGGCGAAGCAGACGCTGCGGGTGCTGTCTCTGCCGGAGGCGGAGCTTCACGGAGTTCTACCTGACTGTGCTGCAGAATATCAGAGAGAGCTGAGCGCCCTGATGGCACGCCGCACACGCACAGGTGACGCACCTACACACAGACACACA